CTGCTGAAAGACAAAGATTATTAACTTAGGCTAATGTCCCGCTTTCAGGACCCAAACTAATTTATCTGCATGACTCTGCAGGGCTTGGGGTCACTGCCCCATATTCCACTGCTAAGTAGAGAAGTGCCTTGTGTATGCTGTCCAGTCAGCTTTGGGAGGAAGAAGTGTGAGGGAAGGGTTTAACCTTCTCTGGGCTTTTTTCCCCACACAAACATGCTGCAGCCATTATTCCATGTCAAGGATATGCTTTTATCCTTTCTTAATAATAAAGTCATGCTACTCACTTGAGTAAATCAACACATCAATGTATTCAACCAGTAAATGGGCTGTAAACTCATTATGCAAGTTTATTTGATCCCAGTGAATCAAATAAAATTTTCCATTGGCATTGCTGAGGCTATTTTTCACATGCCAACTGTGTCTGCATGGGTATGTCATACATCTCTCAAAATCACTTTCTATTTGAAGTTTACAGAATTTTTGTCCATGAGATTCAGCTCATTAAGTATTAAGCCTGTTCATGCAGCAGATAATTTTCCAGTGGTAATGACAGTTATGTACAAACTTGACATACACCTAGCCAATCAAGTCTGCTGAGAAGCGGGAAGAGGTGTCTGCGGTGTTATATGCTATCTGCTTTCTAATGACTTCAAGCAGTTAGTTCTGAGGAATTTTTTATTACATTTATATACAGTGCATCCTTCCACCCTACTTTTGTTACATCTAGTATATTATTACCATATTATGCTCTCAGAGCTCATTGGCGACACACTCTTAGCAGAGAATATGTTAAGCCAGGAAGAAGCAACGAGGAAGTTGAGGAAAATGTTTACTCAGTTATCGTCATGGGTTTAAAAGCCAGAACACTGAGAACAAGTGATATGTCGTTGTCAGAGATACTATGGATAGGACTTTAAAAAGAAGGTTTGGAAGAGGAAGAATTTGCAATTTTAGGTTCTACTTTGAATAGATCGATGATGAGATAGTTATAGTTAACAGAGAGAATGCTAGAGATTGCCAGACCAAAAAAGGCTTTGGCAGACTTTGGCAGCTGATAATTTCTGTGGTCTGGCAAGATAGACATGGAAGTAAGGAAATGATTTATTTACATATATTTAGCTTCAACAGATGATGTAAACGTGAGCATAGCATGAACAGGAAGTATTTCTGCTCAGGATCAAAGCCCTGGTTACCTTCTACAGCAAATGCTGAGTGTCAGGGTGCTGTTCTTAAGAGATGAACTCCAGAAATGTCTGTGCTCAAACTCTGGACCTCCAGCTTTAAGCAAATGAATCTATTACAGAGTTTTACATCTGGGTGCAAATGACCTGTGGCACTTCCTGGCTTTCAGGAGTAGTAGCTCCTCATTCAGTTCAGGAGGCAGCAATGAAAACAATTCCCTAATATCAGATTTCTGACTTGAAATTAACTTGGTTAAACAGCAACTGAGGATATCTGTGAAGTGACTAGTTGTTATTCCTGGAAAGGGAGGAAGACGGAAGAAGTACTCTATTAGTATAATACTGCCTATCAAAAATTTGACTGCACTCCCCATGCCAATGATCCAGACTGAGACTGTTTAAAGAAATTCCATTTTATACCTAAAATGAAAATGACAGAATGTACCTTTACTCTGTCTGTCCGGTTATTGAAAAGGCCAATGCGTCGGATGGTATTGAGGATTGGATCATTGCCATCGTCAATCATGTTGTGAGTGGTCACTGGAGGCAGACAGTGTCGCTAAAGAGAGAAAAGGCAATCCATAAGCCAGACAAAACTGTTGGCAAAGACTCCTGTCACCATTTTCTAAGGTTAGTGGAAGACAGTGGGAGATTTTGTCATTGATGTGGATAGGTTTTTACCCTTTCATTTTAAGGTAAGAAAAGAAAGTTACAATCATATAATGTTGTCTTCTATATAACTAAGGCCACAAATGAGACCATAAAATCTGTCACAGGACTTGTTTCATTTACCTCAAAATAAATGTATTTGTACTAACTTTTAGAAAGGCCTACCATTTAATTTTAAAGGTTTTTAGTCAATACATTATGTCTCCTTAAGAGATTGATTTTACATATTTAATAAAAATGGAAGAATCCAGGCTTCAGGAACAATGCAAAGTTCACACTTAGTGCAAAAGAATTAGGAATTCTGGTGTCCTGCATGTGACTGGGGGAATATTCATGGATTCCCCGAAAGCATTAGTTTGGATCATACTCTCATTAAAAATGATCACAGCTGATCTTTAAATGTTACCGATGAGAAGTATATTTACTGACAACTTCTTTTTCAATGGATGCATATCACTATATGTCATACACAATCCTTGTACATAGCCATGTTTATAATTTATACTAGTTGTTTGTGTAAATAGCACATTTTCTGACCTGAGTTGAAAAGATGGCTCTTTTCATAATGGTTATATCATCTCGGTCAAGAATCTTGTTCAAGTCTGGAATTTCTCCTCTGCAGAAGCAACACAGAGCGTATTTTACCAAATGACTTATTATCAGTTGTATAAAGAAAATGAAGAAACAGCAAACAAGGTCTGATCTGAAGTCTGCTGATGTCAACATGAATCTTTCCTTTGTTTTCATGGCCTTTCTATATTCCCTACATTTTGTTCTCCCATACACTTGCTCACCTTCCAATTAGCTTCCAAAAAACCTAAAGAATTCTTTTTTTCTGTTTTTCAGACACACCTTGTTTTTGCTGAAGTTCCAGTTATCTCATCTGTGCTTTGGGTCATTCACTTCCAACTGTCTTTTGAAAGGATAAGCCAGTACACATACTACTTTGTCTCTGGTGCTTTTTTAAGCTGAGGTAGCTCATTTTTGACACTGAGTAAGCCTTTATGTTACTTAGACATCCCCCATGTCTCTTAAGACTCTTTCTATAATGGGGTGCTAGTACCTTTAAATTTTTTCTCTGTGATTTGCCTATTGAACAGGTAACCTGTATATGGAACAGAGGGTCCCATATCCTTCTCCTATGCCCCTCCTATGGATGTCAACATTTCTTACACGAAGAGTAGAAGCACAGAAACACCACAGGTAAGCCAGCTGAATACGTGGCTCTGCAAGGCAGAGAAAAGTAACCTATACACTCACTTTAGCAGGGCATTGTAGAGTTTCTTTCCAAACTTTTCTTTCATGGATTGTGCAGTGTCCCTAGGAAAATAAATAAATATATGTATAAAACAGGAGAATCCAGGACAAAGCCAGAATAAAAGAGCTTCCTGCTGTTGCAAATTAAATTGTGCTTTCATGTACACGGATGGAACCAAGAATGCAGAAGCAGACAGAGGTCTGGTTCTCAAAGCTCTTTTATCCAGCCAGCAGCCAAACTGACAGATTTCAACACATCTGAGGATTTGACCTGCATCCAAAGATGAAGGCACTGTGAAAGCCAGAAGCAGACCTCACTGGTGATCAGTAGACCACACTTTCATCTCAGCTATGAAAAAGAGAGCATATATATGACTCTACATAGAGAAACATGATCATTAACATTGGACACTAATCAACACTGAGAGGTCTCCAATTTAACTTGACCTAGTATAAAGATGTAAGATATAAGAGTTAAACAAATAGGGATTTTAAAGCAAGCTTCTCCCTTCACTTTCTGCCCTTCCTATTCAAAGACTTTTGAAAACAAGTGTTAGACTAAAAGGTAGTTTGCCATAAATTAAAAAACTTCCTGGAAAGCTCAGGCCATGTTTTAAGCTAATAATAAAGCCTGTGCTAGACAAATGTTATATTTTAGCTAAGAAAGAAGTCCAGTGAACAACCACTCTAAATGCAAAGAGCCATTTATATTATCCTGCCCCTAGTTGAAATAACTTGAAAGTACAGCTGGAAGTGCTGTTGTCAAAATAGCAAATGCACTCTCAATTTGAGTAAAACACCCATTTCATGGAACTTTTCCTGACTTTCTGATTTCTAAGACTTATACTTCGGGCTAAGACAAAACTTGTTAAGTGAAATCCTAAACTTTACCAAGCTGAGAATCCACACACCTGTTTTTAGTTGCCCTCTCCCAACTCACATAGACACAACAGTGGATGAGTTAATTTTGGATCAGTTGTAAAGCAGCTAAATATCAAACCAAACTGATCCAAATCCCAGCAAGCTAGTGCCCTCATGACTATATTTTCATAGACTCATGCCACAAACAATATCCAAAACTTAAGCCAGACAGGATAGACTGCTTTTTCAGAAGCAGAGGAAACAAGGGATTTTATATCCCAGATCAGCCATCGTCTATTCCTTTGTAAGGGCCAAACTCTTCTTGTATTTAATTTCTGTGGCATCCTTAACATCATCTAATATTATTATGTAATACTGATATTAGGTGGTTTTATCCAGGAGCTCCAGATTATGACCATGATAATGCTGCATATGATGATGCAGAGGGTCTTTTGCTTTTCACAGAACACAATGGGAAGAATAGCTGGAAACAGCATTTTTTGCATGATTTCACATCTTTAGGTTTAACTTTACTGTCACTATTGTGCCTGTATTACTGAGTACCAGAGAAATAACCATGTAGTAGAGATACAACAGGGAAAAACCTTTGCATATTTCATTTAATTTAAACTTTCCTAATATCCATATATTATTTATTTAATTTGTACCTGTTGTATTACATTCAAACATTACCTACTTTATATCAAAGACAAAGCAGAGGCCAAAAGCACTTATTGCAAGCATGGCTGTTTCTCACTGCACTCACATTATTTTCCTACAGTTCTCGCGTACAGAGTTCTCATTAAAAACTCTGGCTATGTTACCCTGCTTTAGCCATCTACAGTTTAAGCTAGTTGCACAGATCCTCCACACATCCGCAGAGGGTGACAGTTTATTTCAGAGGATGATTCCCTTCGCTCATCTTAGACACTTCCTGAAGTGGTATAGGATGAACCATCATTTGGAGTGAAGCATCACTCTCACTGGCAGTGAAGGCAGCTCAGATGCACTACTTTTAGGAAGCCAGAGTTGGACAATTAATTCCAACCTCTACATTTGTGGAACCTGTTTCCAGAGTGGTAGAATGTTTCCTGTAAGTCCCAAGAAGTTGCTGTGTGATGACTCCAGAGATAATCTAGACAGTAGATAGGTTTCTCATATCTGTCTTCTTTTCCAGATATGGCAAAAGCTAAATGATTTCAATGATCTTTGTAAACTATTTCTGTCACTGGTTTTGTGCAGGTTTAGTATCCGTTAATCAAAGACTTCAACTTGATTATTGATATCCAGAAACTGAGCCAGAGATTATCTGCCAGAGGCAGTTAATGAGATAACAAGAAAAATAGTATCCTTCTCTTACGCAGTGCCTTTCATCTATAGATCTCTAAGTCATTTAGATTTCTATCATTTTATAAATATAGAACTGGCATCAGAAAGAGGTTAAGCACAGTGAGACACAGGCATAAAAGAAGAACCTAGGTCTTATGGGCTTTAGTCCCTTAGCTTTAAGACCAGCTTCCTTACTTCTGCAGCAGTTTAACTGCTCTAGCCACCTGATAAAGTGCACGTTTCCATTTCCTGGCTTAGATAATTAATATGTGAATATGTTGAGTGAAATAGAATTTTTCACTTTTTTAAACAAAATTCATCCTTGATAACCCACCACTGATTTTCTTTATGATTTGAACCTTCAGTTTTGCCATGTCTCTCAGTTCAGAAGTACCTCACAACATATGTCTTTTCCTATGTAGAATCGCATAGCAGTTAAAGTAAGGTGAAGGTTAAGTCTGCTCCCGCTTTGCTTTTTTGTTCAGGAAGTTGTAAAATGAAAGCTGTTAAACTGAAAAAGGCTGTGACAATTTTCCCTTTATAACTGTAAGTTTCACTGCTTGGGTATGGCCATGGCTTATTGTAGGCTATATAGAAAATTACACACAATTGTTATCTATTATAATAACGTTGTTATAATCCAACTGTTACTCTGCTGGATTAGACAGTACAAGTTCCATATTTCTAAATAAAAGAGGACATGTAATTAATTTCTTTTTCCCACCAGTGGCAAAGAAGCTCACTCTGATAAATTAGCAGGTAGTCCTTATTTTGTGGAAGCTCAATGGCATGTCCAAAAGAGTATTAGAAACAATCGGAAGACAACCAGAACACCAGATTTTCTAGAACCTTTTACTTTGACACTGCAAAACAAGTACTATTTGCTAACTTGTTACAAAGGCAAGTTTACTAAAATAACCTAGAAAAAAAAAAAGAGAAATATTTGCCCTTATTTATCATTCCCATCTCTTTCACCCCGACAAATACATTCCAGTTACCCACAATCCTTGATTTTAGCAGAGCAAAAAGAGAGAGCATTATTCTTCATCAGGATCTTTTGCATGTCTCCTCAATTCACTGTACAAGGCCCTTAATGAGAATGGCAATTACCAGAGCTGCTTCCGGACTGCTTGTCCTTTCAGGGTTTCCACATTGAAATTGTTTGTCTTTGCCGGCATGATGAAGAACACAACAACTGTAACATCAGTCTTATGAACCTACATGGACACAAGATGGAGAGAAAAAAAAATCACAGCCAACTTTAACAGTAAGAATTAGTCACAGGAAAAGCCCATGCACTTTGATTGTTTGTCCAGGAAGGCTCTAATCTTATACCTCTCCCTTCAGCTATGAAGTTTTTGTCAAGTCAGAGATATAGCTGAGGATAGATACAGGTAAACAGGTATCACCCAATTCCAATTTGGGCAATAGAGATCTTCCTGACTTCTCATGGTTTAGAGGCCATGGCTTAGGATGTGAACATAAGCTGCAAAAAATAAAAATCTTACACACATTTTCTCACCTGACACAAACTTTATTGGCTCAAAACTTTATTGGCACAAACTTTATTGGCTCAAAACTTTATTTCCAAAATGTTAGTAAGGTTTTCAAGTAGCAAAGAAAAAGGACTCTATAAAATAAAATCATTCCATCCAATGCTATGTATTTTTTAGGTTCAGGCACACCACTGGGACTTGTTTAAGAAGCACCAGATTCACAAGTAGGACAGGTATTCTGCTGTTCCCAATGGAATTACCTCTTGAAATAATTACAGAGCAAGTGTTCTTTGAACAGCTAATCAAGTGCTGGCATGCGTGTTGGAACAGTAATGCAATAAAGCCAGCCTCAGCTTATGGGAGAAGCAAGTCCCAGTACACTGTTTTAGAGAGCTTTGGAAAACTAGCCTCAGTTTCCTTTGACTTTCCATCAGCCTAGCTTGTCATTGATGTCATATAAATCATTAGATACAATAAGAGATCATGGCAATCATTGTTCAAGCATAAGACCTTCCACATTATCAGCATTTATAGTTAATAGCTATGTAAATGCCATTAACAGGTAGCTGATGTTGCACAGCATTGCCAAATAACAGAAGTCAGTTGTTTGGCAAAGTTGTGGAAGAAATACTTAAGTTATGTGAGGTGATCTTTTGTGTGAGTGAATGGATTAAGTATTTCCAGAAAGTCCACGGGCTCTAATGGTGTATTAATAGAAGGTGGTGGTAGAACAAGTGTACTTAGGGCCTTGAACATTAGTATTTTTTCAGCCCTGCTGACAATATAGTATCAATATTTTTATCCAGATTTTCCATATAATTTAAATGATAGAGTACAAAAGAGAGAGTCTGGGACAACAGTCAATCGATCCTTGCTAGATGACTGAAAACCGATTGGCATTTTGTTTTATTTTTTATTTTAAATGTATCAGTCTTTGGGACGCATCTGGAGACATTTTCCATGACCTCATTTGTAGGTGATAAGTGCTCTGCTCTTTGATCATGACAAGGTCTAGGTCTTATCTTCATTAAAGTACTCCATAAAAGCATTTAGTAACATTGCACTCATTTTTTACTTGAGGAAACGGAAGCATGGAGGAGTGAGTGGCTTCCCCATGCTTACTCATCAGGCCACTGCCATACTGTAAATTTTAATGCAAGATTCCCATTCAGTGTGATAATAGTACTCAAAGATTTAAAAGATCACGGTCAGGTCCTAATGAATTAAGCAATTTGCTTAAAAATATATTTTTAAATTGCATCATCAAAGGATTATTTTTATTTGCTTTCTAATATGTAAACTTTCAGGGTAAATTCTTGACTCATATTTTCAGTATTTTTCTCTAAAAACAAGGGAGGTAACCACGGATTAACTTCTTGAACTATGTAATCAATTGTTTTTAAGCAGCCTGAGATTGTTATATACTCTGATGATTCAGGGAGAGAGCTTTATGAAAACTCTGAATATCCCATAATTATTTTCCTATAAACCAGAATATGGCATGGAAATTCTTGTAAGTAACTTCCACAGTATGGTAACTTTGAGTATAAGCTCTATGTTATCTACATTTGCAGAAGCTTTCTTACCCTCAGCAAAAAGTTTAATCTTGATAAGGCTTCTAGAAACATATCAGCTCCTTTATTGGAAAACTCATATCTCCCAGCAATGAAGAAAAATAACGTCTTCTCAAGACTGAAGTCAAGGTGGCTGAAACCAAGCAAACAAACAGACAAGCACTAAGTATTTCTCAAGATATAATTAAACAAAACACACAACAGCTTTCTATTCTGGAGGAATTTATTATCCCAAGAAAATAATGAAAGTGAGGCTTTTCTGCTATTCTTTAAATTAAGACTATCTTAATCTGATAAACTGCATCTTGGGTACATAATGAAAAAATCAAGACCTTCTGCCTGATCCCACAATCTGTTAAGCAGAGCTAGAACTGGTGTCCAAAACTCCTTTAGCTTCTGACTGAGAAATCCCAGACAGGTATTTGAATAAGTTGGTAACATTTCACCTCCTCTATGAAGTACTTGTTAGTCTTCCTGCTTTGGTTCTTGCTTTAAATAGTGTTGGACAACCATTGCTTATTTTTGAAAAGTAAAAGCATACCCATAGAAATGACCTCGAATGAACTCTTGGATCCTAGCCTTGTACATGGAATGCAAATTCTGAAACTCATGCATTGCTGAAAATTTCTTAATGTTCAAGCCATTTGGGGTGACAACATCTGGAAAAGCAGAGAAAAGGCAGAGGTAGACATCTTCAGAGTCAGAGAAATCTTTAAGGAAAGAACCAATGTGTCTTTCAGTTGTCAGTATGTGAACAGGTTATGTACTCTTACTACTCATGGATAGGGAACAGCACTAACACAATGGTCTCCACCAGCTTACTCCACAAAGCTATTGCATGGGGCACTCCACTGTCTATAGCATTGAAGTGGCTTTGTACCACTTTGACCTGTACTCAACA